CTGTACTGCGCGGTCTCGTTTCTGCAGCCATACTTCTGCTGTCAGAAAGCTGGCATCAGAATGCACTGCCTTCAGAAAACATTGATTTCCTTCTCATTAATAGGTCCTGTACCGGATACATTTAAAAACCTGTCTGCGGTTAATAATAAAGTAACATAACTCATACTTCACAGTGACAAGCTGCTGCATCGGTGATTAAGATAAAGGTATGGAAACACACCAAACTCTATTATCTCAGATAATGAACAGAATTCATATTTGAACACAGGTCATCATAGCAAATCATCTGTATACTAAGGGGGTCTTTTAGGATGCACTTTCTTTTTTTGTGTGTCTATGATACTTTTCAATGAATCATTTGTTTATTTCTTAGTTCCTATTTTTATGTCGGATATTAGCGGCCAGTCTCCCTCATTATAATGATTGTTTGACTGTGTAAACACCACAAACAACAATGGAAATAAGTCAAGGGCATTATTATTTGATCTCTATAAAAGTCTGATATGTTCCACATTATTAAATCTATTAAGATGGTGTTAATAAACCAAAGTAAAAGCCAGCAAAGCGGAGTTGAGAAAGACAAATGTCCCTCACACAAAATGCATCAAGGACAGGCCACAAGCCAGAGACCAGGTGACGATAAGGGTAGAAGATATGAAATGAAAGGCTCGTAAATTTGCCCAGTGGAGTAAAATGAGCTAAATCAAAGTACGTCCTGTAATGCTGAAGAAGATTTATGAATTCAGCTTTTTTTTTTTTGGATAACAAAATTATTAAAGCACCGGTGGGTTGCTACGTCCAGGCAGCGACTTTGATGGGAGTTTTTAAACTTTTGGAGCAGAGAAAAGGTTTTGCTGCCCTACACTACTTATCACATGTTAATCAACCTGCATGTAATATTTGTTTTTCTAAGGGAGCAACTGTCAGGACACGGCAGGGTCAACAGAAGGTGATACTCAAGTAATAGAGGTTCAGAACCATCCCCCCGATTCTAAATCAATATGTGGATAATTGAACTAATGATTAATTCCTTGTCATAATGATTTGGATTGAAGATGCAAAGGGAAACGGGTGAGAGATGAGGGGCGTGTTCAGTGACCTCATCCCTACCTCCCCCTCTCCGCCTCACTGGTGGATCTGATTCTCCCAGATGCTAGTCCTGCTGGAGCATCCATCAATCTCCTGACGCACTGTCGCTTGACACACACTTAGACCCTAATTTATAACAGAAACTTAAACATCCTAAATACACACAAACAGTTATCTTCACAGCACCTGAGCCAGTGTTAAGGTCAGCTAAAAGGGTCACTGACTGTGTACTGCGGATGTGCCAATACTCCAGAGGTGCCCAGTCTAATGAAGCTCACTAGACCTGACAGAGGTGGCTCCCACTAGATAATTCAGTCTCCTCCCAACCAGCTGCTTCCTATCATGGCAGAGGATCAGAGACTGCTGACGGGTCAGACTGGTAATATCATTATAGCTCACCAACATCTACTTTGTTATGTGAATGTTTCCTGCCCACAGAAAGACTAAAACACGTGATGGTGAGGCTTTGCTAGAAGCTCCGAGCCCCTGTAGTTTAACCTGCTCTATCATGCTGGAAGTGAGTACAGTTCACGAGCCAGTGCTGCAGCCTGAGTCTCTATAAGACCTCTCAAGTCTCTTTTTCCAGTCCTGACTGGGACTTACTTCCTCTGTAGACCAGGGCAACCGGGAGCCGTGACATATGTTAGTATGCACGCATGCTGTAGCTCACTGTTTAAGTTCATTTGTATTGTACATATCCACCAGCCATCACTGCAACTGTAGCCACTGGCACATTCCCCATTCAACTCATTCTGACAGCCCACACGCAATGAGCTGCCCAAACAGCTCCAGGTCATGTTGATCACCCTGCGCGTCCGTGCTCGAGCGTGTGCAACCGGATATGCACCTCATGTGGGTTAGATACAAAAACACAAGGAAGAAACACACAGAGCTACAGTTGTGACTATGTAAACAGACGGGGGCCCTTACGTATCTGGTGATGATATTCCGGAGCAGGTTGAAATCCATCCTTACGAGGCTCCGGCGGCGGCTACACTGTGCAGCAGAGACGTTTAGCTTTCCTTGGGTCTTCGTAAACGCTACCTACTGTGGATGTTTCCACCACAATCCATCGCTCACCACCCCTGCCGCCGCCGTGTCTGTGATAGTGAGGAGCAGCGGTCTCTCAGTCGGTTGTTAGGATTTTCATGGCATCCCTAAGAAGAGCCATGCGGGGACCGATTACAGAAAACCACACTCACACTGCTGGCTACATTTCAGGAGAAATCTCACCGCGAGCAAACCGCCAAAGCTCCGGGTCGTCTCGGTGGCAACTCTCCGTCTGAGAAACTGTTTCAGTCTGGCAGGAGACTGTCCGTGTAGCAGTCCGAGAAACAGCGCTGGCCTCGGTGCAGGCAACGCGAGGCGCCCACAGCACACAGCACTCAGCCCTCAGATGGCTACGCTGCGCATGCGCACTGAGATCTTCTCGCAGAGTAAATCTAAGCACTCACTACGTGCACAACCAACGGTGTGTATGTGCACGACCAGAAGCCCTGGAATCAAACACGTAACTAAAGTTCGTAGCACAACTATTTTACTTACAACTATATCTAGACAACATCCGTTGTTTTGGTTTGCCAGTGTTATGAGGAACATGAGCAACTAAAATTAGTTTGAATATCTGCCTAATTGGCGGGAAAGACCTATTTCTGTTCTTCAGTGGAACGTAACTAAGTACATGTATGCAATTACTGTACTTTAGTGCATATTTGAAGTATTGTGTTGCATTTAGGTATTTCCAGTTTGCACTTTTTATTCGCCATTATCAGACTCCAGTTACTGAAATGTTACATTTTTTGTATTTTTTTTTTTTAGTTTAGTTTAGTTTGAATTTTACAGTTAACATTTTACTCTGCAAAACATATTAAGAGCAATAAAATATCATGTTATGATTAAGCTTTATACAATCAAGAACTGAAACTGAAAATTAGTTGACTGGCAGAAAATGTATTGGAAATGATTCTTTTGCTCAAGCTTCTATAATATGAGGATTTGCCACTTTTCTTGTAATAATTTAGATTTACATTTAATAATTTTGAGGTTTGGACCATAGCGCTGGACAAAATAAACATTGTGAAGGTGTCACTTTGTGGTCTACGTAACTGTGTCTGCATTTTCCTCTATCTTCAGAATATTTGCAAACCCTACAATCAATCAATTAGTGAAGAAAATAATTAGGAGATTAAAGTGTATTTTTTTGATAATACTGATGTAGCCTACTTTTACTTAAATGGACATTATAAACCCATGAAACTTAAGTACAATGTGTCATCTTTAAATGTAGTGGGGTACAAGAACAAAATAGCCAGAAATAAAATACTTAAATACAAGCACTGAAGAATTATATTTAAGTACAGTAGCCTACTTACTTCCCCCACTGTGCCGAGTATCTCAGGCCTCACTCTTTGATCTGTATTTTGTCAACAGTATATTTAACCTGTGAGTATACTTAGCCAGAGACATGACGCATGCCCTAAATGCCAGCCGCCTGTTTCCACAACTGACTGCACGCACATGGATGAAAAATCACTGTAATATTTTTACAATGATGTAATAATAATAATAATAATCCTACAAGATATGTGCTGTGCTCAGCAGGGATCTAGCAGTGATATTATCTCCATATCTATATAGGGAGATCCTGTGGCAACAGGGCAACCCGGTGTGATGGCTACCCCAGACGTTTCATTTGTAGAGTTATGACTTTCAATTAGCAAACACACTATTAATAATGCAAAGGGATCCAGCGCTTTCAGCTCTGACCTATTAATGCTTGATGCCGCTGTTTACCTCCCTCAAGATAGTGAGTCTGCCTCAGTGGACACATTACAACCTGTTCTTTGTTTATGAGCTGTGACTATGCAGGATGTGTTTAATGTCATTGTAATATTATGGAGATAGGAGTGCCTCTTATCCCCATTTTACCTATTTGTCCTACAACAAAGCACAATAGTATTAAAAATTAGGATAGCTTTCACACAGCGCCACCACAGCAGATATAAAAATACCATAAGTTGTTAGGAATAGAAGAAAAGAAGACATTTTTTTAATAAATGCATTTTAAATGTCTTGCAGATAAACTAATTCTGCCATGTTCACAGACTAGTCCTTGCATGTTGAAGATACCAAATTATGAACTCAGAGCAAATCCCCATTTCTCATTGCTTAAGCACATTGCTACATAATATCAACATGTCCAAGACTAGTGACCTGTCCAAGTTTGACCCCGCCTCTCGCCAAATGTCAGCTGGCGTTGGCTCCAGCCCCCACGACCCTCAGTAGGATAAACGATATAGATAATGGATGGATGGATGACCATGTCCAATCAGAATCAGCACCTGTAATTAGGGTTTAATGTTTCTTCTGCGAGCAACTAGCTTTGATTTCCAAACAAAACTGCTGCTCAGTTTTCGACATGCTCAGCTGATGTTTCCACTGATTACCACATAGTTGGCTGACTTACTATTACTGTTCCATCTGAGTGGAAGAACTGGGTCATTGTTCATACCTTCCTTCTGTCTTCTGTGTGGGCAACAGTGAAGCTGCATACAGGGCAGTGGGTTATGTTCCTCATGTTGCCATTATACAGTATGGACAGTGTTTCTGGACAGCTCTCTTAGTTATGATTACATTTATAATAAATATTCATCACAATTGAAGCCTAGCATTTTTCAAACATTGTGAAATAACTTTAGAAATGTAATCTTTATAATTTGCTGTGGGGAAGTTGAATGCAACATAGAAATGCACACAAGGTTACATGTGCCCAACAAAAAACTAAATGCCTTTAACTGTAAAATCAGTGTGACTAAAGTGTGAAAACCTTTTGAGGCGTTGCATGATGAGGACAGAGTGTAGGACAGTCTGTCTCATTGAGAGGTTTTTCTTCCAAACTTTGGAGAGCTCCTTCTGGAAGTACATACTGTATATGCAGCTGTTTTCACAGGCTGAGTAGTTTTCAAGTGAGAGGTAAACTGACATCTAAGTGTATGATCAGTGGACTGCTGCTGAATGCTTTGTTTACAGATTATTAGTTGTTTCAATAATGTTAAAAAACCAAACAAAATAGAAGCAGAAGAAACTGGTTCAATCTACTGACATGTTATATATTATCTGGAGCTTTAAGCTGTTTTCCAGTGGTTTTTTTTCTCAGTTTGTGTAATCATTACAGCTCTTGTTGCAGCGCAAGCAGCTGACTCTGTGCTATTATCAGCACGAACAATGGATCCTATTATGCTGTACACATGAATTTTTCCTGTATCAGCTCACAAGCTCTGGAAAATTAACAATATAAGGTATGTAATGATGTATTAGAGAAACAACTAAATTTGTTTTGAACTCAAAACCATTCTTGCAACATGTGGCATCTATGGATATTCTACAGATCCTAAAAGACAGAGCAGTGAATAAATTAACTATACACACACACACACACACACACACACACACACACACACACACACACACACACAAACACAGTATATGTTTTACATCTTTAAAGAGTTGATTGCATTTATATTAGCAGTATTAACAAATGTAAACAGCACATCTTCTGTTTGTGGTTCCTAGCCTAGTTGATGTCTATCATACCTTAGGCGTTAGCACAAAAAGCGGTTGGATTGTTTTGTACACTGTAACACACTGCATATATTTGCATGTTTTGCAGCAATAGTTTAATTACAACTCGAATTATAAAGAAAAATATAGGAATGAATTATTCATGGTAAATGTATCAAGTTTTATGAGTTTGTGGTGGCTGAAGGCTGCTGCCTGACCCCAGAGATAAGGATGATAGAGAAAGAAAAAAGACAAAGATGAAGGAGCTGTTATGATTATAAAGTGCCTCAGTTCGTTCCACTAATTTGCATAATGAGCTTTGAAAGTGAACTCAAAGGTTAATCAGATCCACTAGTGTATTATTAGGAAAATCAAGAGCTTATTTGATGACTGGTCATGTGTAACAGGAAAGAGACTGCAGGAGAGATAAACCAAGATGAAAACGCCGTGTACTCGGTTATTTGGTGCCATCTAGTGGCCACTATACAAAAACGCATTATTTGTCTCATGAACACAGCAATGCTCATCATCCCCAAAACCCTGTCGGTGTTGCTTCAGGTAATTTGGCAGCTAATTCATGGCCTTGATTAATCGTAATTGTAGGACCATTTAAGCACGAGTTAACCCTCCATCATGGGAGAACAAATTAACAGGCCTGCAGTCTCTTATGTTTGACTGATTTGTTGTTACTTGACTGAATGAGTTTTTGTGTATGTTGCGCAAGTGATCGTTTGAGTGATTTAGTTAATGAATGAGTGAATGTGCATCTGAGAAACCCAGCTTAAAGGCTGACCCCTCTACTTATGCCAGAGGTTAGTAAATGTGTCTATTAAAGCTAGTGAGACTAAGATTGTGTGAGTAAGCACTGCACACACTGCAGGACGCCGGTCTCTCTCTGAGCACAGATAATAGGTGTGTTTGTGTCTCTAGCAGTGCTGATGTGCGTCACATGCCTTCTCTCTCCATGCCCAGTTCGGGTGCCAAGAGAAGGGCTTAAACCTGCGTCTGGAGATGGGAGCTGTGGAGATCCCAGGGAGCGGATGCTTGGCACCGTGAAATAGGATTTGGGAAGGACCGAAGCAATGAAGCGAGAGGGAGAGCAGCAACTGCCAAGTCCTCTCTGCGGATTTGGTGCCCCCCTCCTCACCTCTTAAACATATTCAGTTTGTGCACACACATGTGCAGATATGAAGGAGAGAACGGGGGATTGCGAATGGAAGAGGAGAGAAAAGAAAAGCAGAGAGGGGAGTATAATAAGAAGAACAGTGGTTGGAGCAATAACACAGTTAGAGAGACAGTGACCTGAACATGTGTTCCTCACCGTAACCAGCTCATACAGCTCACTAATCCTGCCAAGGCTTTGCAGGTGCCTCCTACCTGAATATGTGCACAGGATGTGTGTGCATGCCTGACGTGCGTGCTGATATCTGTGCTTGGTTTTGTGCACTGTGTGGATAATCTTCTGTAAGTGACAGTCAGAGGTTGACAAGAAACAAGAGAGAAACAGGAGGGAGGAGTGGGGGAGTAAGGGGGCGGGGCTACTCACATGGCTGTCAAAGGAGGTGATTGATTTTCCACCCCCTGTTATCAAGACCAGCAGCCACAAGGACCCCTAATACCCCACTGTCTGACACACACACACACACACACTATCAGTAGCTCAATACCAAGAAAATAGTCCTATCAAGTATCATCTGCCTCTCTGTCTCTCTCACGTGTTCAAAACAAATATCTAATCAGCATAGTTGGCTCTGGAGCAGAGAGAAGAAAGAGAAAACACAGTTGGCTCAGTTTGCTTGTGGCTGACAGGAAAGAAGAAAGGGAAACAAAATCAGTTACGAACATGAGCACAGATGATTAAGGAGCAGAGATGATTCAGGAAAGCAAGATGGATGCATCTAAGTGGCTGCTTCTGGGCAATTCTGTTTCAACTCACATCTCTCGTTTGTCTCAAG